CAGCTGACAGCGTGGGCTGAGAACGTGCTGGTCAAGAAATGTCATTCGGTTCTCAGCTGTGCTGGTGCCTGAAAGCTCTGGAATTGTATTTAGTTCTGGCCCCAGTCTGGCTCGTTAGAGTACCAGTTATGCAGTTCACAACTATAATAAGAAACAGTGCATAAAGGATGAACCTTTAATGTAGGCTCGAATCGGATACGCCTGTCATTTTTTACAAAAACATGGGCAAGTACGTCACGCCACACGGGTGGCATATCTTCGTGAATTATAGCGGCGCTGCTCTGGGATCTCTTGTAAAATGGCACACAAGGTCGTCCTTCGGTATTCACTGCTCGCTTCACATCTTTCTTTCGTCTTTCAACACTAGTGAGTACTGAGGAGTGTTATTGGGAGAGATACTGGCGTCCAAAATTGTTTTTAAAAAAAGTTGCATCACAGGACTGCGCGCGGGGGAGGTGGGGAGAGGGGTGGAAGGGGGCTTGGCCTACCTGCCCTGTAAACGGAGCGCTGGCGCCTGCGTTTACTGAGACAGACCTTCCACACTATTATTAAACATTCAGGGTTATGGCTACGCACGTGTTTTGGGCGATAATGGCAACCAAAAACATCTGAGGATCAAAAGAATGCAACTAGTCCCGCTTCGCGAACACCGACAAAACGGCGACGCTGGTGGCATTTCGTCCGTCAAGCTCGCACACTTTTGTGTTTCGCAAGTATTTCTCATATGTTGTACTACTGCTCTTTGTTGAAAACATTTTGTTAACATGAGGCTGTACTATAGTTTCATTCCATTTTGACCACATCTCTCTTATACACCGGTTTACAAAAAAGCTTTTGTTTAAAATCTACCGGTATCACTGTTCTTTATTAAACGCTCTTAGCTAAGCATTGAGATGGTATAGTACGGTGACCACCTTTTACAAACCCAAATTATGAGGTGAAAGAGACGTGACTAGGCACACTCCTTTGTTCGCCAATGGCTGCCGTCTTCATTTTTAATAGAAGTTGTGTGCAGTGGGATTTCCTAAATTTTCTTGGCACATACGCATTTATGATGATGACAGTTGTCTGACGAGCCGCAGATTTTTATGTCGTATACCCGTTTCTTGGGCTAACGTTTTCTACATTTTTTTTTGGGGGGGGGGGGGGGGAATCAGTGGTGAACAGCGGTATTTCCCTACTTCTGGGGCGCATACGTCTTTATGATGCCCACGATTGTTACCACGGATCCAGGACATGCAAAGCTCGACCAAGAACAGCTTCACTGTCAAAATGGTTTACTTCCCATCTTTACCACCAGGAAGCCGTAAAAAAGACACCATTTTTCAAAGCACGACACCGCTTTTTTGTTTTCTTATCCATTGCGGAGCTTGTTTTTTTTTTACTCAACCAATGGTGAAAGAATGGGGGAGAGAACTTGGTCCCCCTAACGAAGAACACTTCTCACGCCTACAAGTAGCATAGCTAATATGAGCTTGCGCAATGCACTCTGCGAGCGTGAGTGCATTGTGCAAGTTATAGCTGCAGCTAGCCAACACCTTCAATAGTTCCAGTACTACTCAGAAGGAACAAAATGGCGTCTGGTTAAACGTTTACGTGACAATGGTGCTAATACGAGTGGGAAGTACACTCTTAAAAAAGGTAGCACTACTTACTTACTTAGAGGTTGTAAAGTGTTTTTTAAAAATTCACTAAGTAGTAACTGCAAGTAGTAGACCACTGTCATTTACTACCTCTGGTTGCTTCTAAGGTGGTAAAGGTCTGAGGTGTTACTACCTTAAGCTACTACCTCAATAGCGAATGTTGTGACAATAAACTACCTCAGAGTTAGTAAATAGCACTACCTTTTTTTTTGGGAGTGTACTTGGACTGAGGTGTAGTTGATGCAGAGAAAAAACTACTTCTTAATTTGGGTTTGACATTCTTTTTCACGTATTACACTTCGAAAACGAAACTGGATTGTCTCCACGTTTACTGATAATTGAAGATTTGGCAAGTCTCAACTGTCGATTGAGCAATTTACATCAATACTATGTAGCCGAATGAAGTCGTCAAGAGTGAATTTTTCATATGAGAATGTGTGATTGCACATGAACATCTCTAAAAGTCAGCAATGTCAGTTTCTTGGAGGTAATAGGATTTCGCGGCTATATAGATATCTGAAAGCCAATACACCGGCAATGTGCAGGCACGATCTTTCCGGGGTTCTATTTTTTTTTATTGCGTTAGCAATTACAAGGACACTCTACGCTGGATTTCGCTGCCGCCGTCGGCGTTACTCATCGATTATGTATACGTAAGTACATATAAAAAACGCAACAACAAATCCTGAAAAGATTCTGGCACTCAGATTCGAACGTAGAACCTCCGAGTCGTGAATGCGAGGTGTTAACCACTGAGCCACTTAGGAGCATGTCCTTGAACGCTAAAACGGCAATCTGTTTATATCTATCACCTACCGCTGGTCATGGGCATCTCGGAGATGGGGAACTATCGCGTTTTCAGCATTACCAGCAAGATGGCGCAATGAGCACGCGGCAGTATACACGTCTTTGGGGGAGGGGGGGGGGGACTTTCGCGTTTTCAGCATTACCGGCAAGATGGCGTAATGAGCGCGCACGGCGCGCGTTCGAACCTCCCACCCGTACTTTGCCTCTCAGAGTGGAGAAGGTGAAGACAAGCTCGCGCACCCATATCTCGCGATAGGGGGGGGGGGCAGCGTACGTTTCGGCTGGCATTGCGCTTTTACTAGAGCCTGTCGTATACTTACCGGGCGCACAAAGCTCACTGCAATCGTTGCACAGTCTCCGTTTGCGAAAAAGGCGTGCTTTCCAGACACAGAGAAGTAACAGAGACGCTTATTCACATTCATCTGTACTTGTGAGTACGGGACTCGCTCCCTGGATTTCAGTGCTGACCAGGTTGTGCCCTCGCAATCTCCGACGTCAGCGCAGCTCTGGCCGACTGGCTTCGCCCTACGCAATCTCCTGACGCCGACTAGATCTCTCGCCGAGTGGTGCCCCATCCTCGGACTCCTGCGACCATGTCCATCTTTCCTTTCTTCTCCTTACTTCCGTTTCTTGCTGTCCCTGCAGCTCACTCTCTCCTTCCGCTCCCTCTTTCTCTATACCTTTAAGTCCTATCCTTTGAATCCCTCCTTACCCCCACCCCTCGTGAGCTACTGTTGAGGTGTCCTACCCCTGAGAGACAGTTACGGGGCACACTTTTCTCTTCTTTTCATTTAAGATCCCTTCCATTCTCTGTGGGTACGTTTCGTGCGTCATTTTTGCGTGAGAAACGCGGGGCACGTTTCGATCTGCTTGCCGTTTGGCGCGTGACCTTCCAGTTTGTTGCTATCGCATTCATTGCTTCACCTTTGCAGCAGAGCTGTGACTTTTTTTTTTCTTTGGTAATAATGCTTACAAGAGTTGACGCGAGCTTCGGAGGTTTATGCGATGACTTTCCACTAAGTATTATAACAAAATTTCATCCATAAAGTCTCATAATAAATATTTCACACGTTTAAAGGCGTAAACCTTTATTCGTGTACATATAAGAAGTACGAGACAGTGAACAAAATACCACAAATTGTTAAAGCGGTGGTCCACGCAGACCGAATGATGCTGCTGAGGAACATATGTAAAAAAATCGCAGCTGCGTCTGCCGTCATTGCCGTTCTTGTAAACGCGTTTCCAATGGGGCTAATGCCGCAGGCCATGGTACCTTTAACGTCATATTCTTTCGCTTTAGCCATACATGCTAACGAGATGACGTTTAAATATATCATGGTGTTTTATCAGGGACTGAGATCTTAGCTAGCGAATAATATAATATTGGCGCGGATTTCAGACCTGTATATTATTAGAGCTTGAACTTAGCAAAATTGATCTTGCGTTCATTTATTCGTGCTAGCGTATGCTGACAAGTAAAGCACCAAATGGTTCAAAAATGACGAAGCATGGATAACATAATTTAAGGAGATTACCGTTCCAGGGCACAGCAGCAAGACCTGTGCATGTGTCCTTAAAGGGACACTAAAGCAACTATTAAGTCAATATTGCTTGTGGAAATAGCAATAAAACATCGTAGTGTTACTTTTGTGCAAAAGAAGTTCTTAGTTTGAAATAAACTCACAATTCAGTGGTGCTAGTTGGGTTAGTGCTCTTCAAATTACCCATCCCAAGCAGAACGTCAACGTCGCTTTTGCCGTGCACATCGTTGCCTAGCTTTATTTCGCGGCCGCTGACACTAGCAGCATGAGAACGAAAGCAGCGGGAGCCTGTGGCAGCAAGAACAGTCATTGAATAATTTCCTGCCATTAATAATGAATAATTTCGCACCCACAATCTCAGAAGCTATGGAAAGACGTGCTTGGTTCAACTGGTCCCCGCTAGACAGCACGACTTGTCTAGTTTAACCACGCGAAAATAGAACTTTTGATCCACTGGTTCCCTTTCCTATAGTAACGTTCGGTGGTTCTCTTTTCAAAATTAAGAAGAAACGAACAAGTAACATTTTCTTATGTCTCTAGATTCTTGATGTGTGGAAGGTTTTTTATTTATTTCAACTAGTTCGATTACTAGTGAATAATTGTACGCGGTAACTTTGATACATTCGCGATCATCTTGTGAATGTTCTGCTGCGGTGCTTGTGTTCTCGTGCATTTACCTTCACTTCTCGGTAAGCAGGGCACTGCTGTTGGTAATATTGTTGTTTTAGGCGATGTCATATGTACAGCTTTCACGCTCACGTAAATTGTTATTTAACTTCAGGGTTCCTTTAGCTTCAATGTTTCGTACTTAGGTCACGCTCCAGTGCACATTCGTACTGTTCGGTATTTCTGAAGACACGCGCAGAAGAATATTTTGGTTACTGTCATTTATGTAATTTTTATCCGTGATCATTATATGAGAGACTATTAATAATTCAAGAATTTGAAGCTACTACCATACTTTTTGTCAAGCTGACTTCCCCGGCTTACCATTCATTTCACGCCAATATAATAAAATATCCTAAGTCAGTAAAACTTTATTCTTTACGTGTATACAGAGGGCACATTTCATTTTTGTGCCTTTTCTGGATGAGGAAGAATGTCTTGTCCAGTGAAGCACGACTCCACAAAGTACAGCTCAACGCATGCCACAGCGACGCGATCTTTCGCAACGCACGGCTTTGGTGATTGCGTGGAGAGACAATCAGTCCTACACTTGTTTCTTCAGCCATGATATCCATGGCCATGACCGTAGCTATGTCCGTAGCCGTGGCCAAGCCCATGTCCGTAGCCTCCGTATCCACCGTAGCCTCCGTAGCTACCACGGCTACCGAATCCTCCATATCCACCGTATCCACCGTAGCCGCCATAACCACCATAGGATGATGGGTGCTGAATGTACGTCGAATAGGAGAAAGCCCGACCAGCTGGATAGCCGCCGTAGCCGCCACCGTATCCACCGTAGCCGCCTCCATATCCCCCGTAGCCGCCTCCGTATCCGCCGTACCCTCCGTAGCCACCGTAGCCTCCATAACCACCGTAGCCTCCATAACCACCATAGCCGCCTCCAAGGAAGCCAGCCGACGCAACAGCAGCCATAACGGCGAGGGAGACCAACGCAATCTGATCGAGGAACAGAAATAAAAACAAAGTCAATGTTGATGTGATGAGCGGAAAATCATGTCGGAAGACTGATGGACACACTTTGCCTATTCACTTCCTGGAGTGGTGAACTATCCTAAGTTATTGAAAGTATTGAAGATTGATTAATTGATTGATGATCATTCCTAAGGTGCCCTCGTTTGATCCCGGGTTTCGACATCATATATTGTGGCTCGACATAGCCGATCCTGTAGCACACGGCAATAAAAAAAAAAAACTCAGGTCGTACTGGACCGAACTACGCTTTAATGGCGACAGAGAATCAGAAGAAAAAGAACACTTGCGTAGTGGGTCGGCGCTTTGCTTCCTCTTCTTTCCTAGGGTCCCAATAGATGCCGCTTAGAAATATGACGACGTGAATTTGTTGTACCACTGAGTGAGCCTGAACCAACGTTGGGTATCAAATTTTTCCTAATTTGTAATCCTAGAAAAAACGACTCAAAACAAAAGCTGCATCGTATATATTATTTTCTGTCCAAGCACTGATCTCCATTCTTAATGTGGCGTCCGTGTTTCTTTCAGCAGCGTGTGATACATGATAAGTACTACGTGCCTTTGTGGTTCACTGAAATTATACAAACATATTTGGTCAAGTTTGAATAATCTCTCATCCAACTAAATCTTAACAGTAAAACGCTTGAAGTGCAGGGACAAAGGAAAATCACAACACGAGCGCCCGTGTTCTTGCTGTGATCCTTTCTTCGAATGCTTCACTGTTCATAAGACACCAACAAGGCTGAACATCATCATTAACCAGATCTTGTTCCGTACTAGCAAGGTCAAAATAAAATTCGCAGGTATGTTAGGTTCTTAAAGCTTGTTAGGATAAGCAATAATTGATGCCAGCCACAAAAAAAAAAGCAACTGATCCGTGTAACAGTTGGGTAAGTGCGGTACACGGGGACATGGTGTTCATTCATGAGCATGCCAGCCGAGCCTAATCCAGAACAGATACATACCAGGCTAAGTTCTTGTTGGGAGATGTCACATCACGTGGAAGAAGCTCACTCTGTTTTTCTGAAAAGCCCCACTGAATCATCATCTTCATTATTCCGTAATACCAACAGTTCTGCACCAAGCATACCCATAATGCGGCGAAGTAGCTCATTGAAACACATGCTTTGGCGATGCTCTGTGTTTCTAGACTGCGTTTAAAAAGCCTGGTGAGCCAACGCTAAAGATGATCCTAGATATGACTCCTCCCAGTTCAGAAGAGCCATGAGATGGCGCAGAGGTTACTCATCGCAACATAGCGCTAACCGAAGGTTGGACCATCTCCCACTCTTCGCTCCAAGCGAAATAAATGTATTTTCTTTCTCTCTATCTCCCTATTCCTGGCAGCAAATACTTTATCTTACTTTACACTCAGCTTTAATTACAAAAAAATCTTTTATTGCACTTCACTGAGCTGAAGCACTTGGTGAAAACATCTAGCATACATAAACTCAATGCCAAGGAGAATTCTGTTGGATATAATGTATCTGTCACGTGCCCTGTAAGATGAACTCACTTCCTGTATTCCATCATGTTGAAGCCGTGAATCTCCAAGAGCAAAAACTATGCAATTTAAATATCGCGCATATCCTGCGACTTACCATTGACTTCATTTTTTCCTTGCTTGACAGAGAGCGGCTCGCTGCGGAGGTCGACGTCCAAAGCACGGTTCGCACTGCTCGCCATGTTGATGCGGTGCGCGCTTTTAAGGCGACTGCCCGGTCAGCCTCTTCGTGCGTGGCAGTATATGCGTAAACAAACTACGAAAGGAAAAGAGGTCAGCACGGAACTCGTCGTTGCACGAGTGAAAGGTACCGAACGGAGCAAAAGGGGGGCTGCTCCTCACGGAAACAATGGCGAACCCCAACAGAGAGCCAATAGCTCCCCTCCTCCCCTCACCTTAAAGCTGACCACACCTATATGCCGTCTTGCGGTTTTTTTGCGCTCGCACTCTCTCGTTCCCAGTAGTTGTATTGACGGTCGGCGGCCTTCGGACCACTCAAATTGGGCGCACACGAGACAGGTCAGACATTGAGTAGCTCTTTGAACGACTTCTTGCAATCGAGATCAAGCAAATGTCACCACTCTCTCTTCCCCACCATATACTTTCAATAACAACCTTAATTTCGCAGGGAAAATACGATTGCTGGTTTAGAAGATGTCTCACTCTTTTGCGAAGAGTAAGAGACAACAGGGAAATTCTACTTCACGGCCACATCGTATTTAACACGTTATATATATTACAAGGATTTGACACATATATTAGAGCCCGTTACTATACAGGTGTCCTCGTTGCAGTGCTTTAAATTTGCAGCTATGCACGTCGAGCGATACCGATGAATGAAAAAAACGTAATTTTCGTCGCGATTTGATAACTACCATTTTGTCACGTTCTATATGGCGATATTGATTATGCGCAGCCCTTCACATTACCAATTTAAATTGGCCTAGTAATCCGCAAATTAAAGGTCTGGACCAGTAAACGCTTTACCCGTTATTATGTGCAGCCTTTCAAATTACCAATTCAAATTAGCCTAGTAATCCGCAAATTACAGATCTAGACCAGCAATCGCTTTACCTGTTCATAACTTTCACTGTTCATGAAATGCTGCTCCACACACCGCCTACATTTCTGGTATCTCGTGCAACTAAGGTGCAATGTGAAAGCTTTTGGAGCTTTCGGAAATTCATGATGGCAGGGTAGTTACACTAACTGCCAGCAATTATATGACATTGCTGTACTTTATATCACAAATGTATGTGCTTTTGAGTAGAGGTATTATAGTGTGTCAATGATTCATATGTATTCTAGAAGCTTCTAAAGCTCTTATATGAATCACAGAAGCTGTTATAGTGGAAAGACAAATACGGGTAATTGCATGACGATTTGATTCTCACCCCCCGCAGCGTCCAAATAATTCGTACTCGGTAAAAGCTGCGCTTACATGTGGTATATGAATAGTAACGCTAAAAACTGGAAGCGAGTTTTGTAGCCATAGGTGATTACTCGCCCTTGCATCCAAACACACAATATTCATCAACTATTGAAATAATTTAGGATATCATTTCACTACTTCTTGTCACCTCCGCTCGCTTAGTTGTGGCAGTCGTTTGCCTCATGTTGCATTCTAATTCTTTTCGCTGCTTTTCACACTCACAAGAAAAATTTATTGCAACTGACCTCCCAAGGTTAATATTCGGTGACTTTGGACCAGCTATTCAAGGTGTCCTCAAAAAGAAAAAGTTGTTTTTTTTAATGTCAGACCAGCAGTATACTCGGTAGCTGCAAACTCCTTCGCGTGCAAGCAAATAAGTGTCTCAGTATGCAGCCTTGGTGACACAGCATGAGAACCACGTAGACCGGCTATTGTGTACGAGCACCTCGCGTGGGCATACTTCGCGCCAGTAATTGCCACGTCCATCCTGCCTCGGAAGTGAGGTGCCCGCCGCTCCGTGCAAACCGGTGTTCGACTCTGGCGTGTTCACCACCACAAGGCGCCGAATGCTTGCAAGGCGTCCACATTTTCCGTTCGGCTATCTCTGGTGTGCGTGGAAGTATGCATTGCCATTGTGTGCGGGTGGTTTTCTCTAATGAAGCCCTTTGTCCACAGACCAACTCAGCGGACCGTTTTTGGAGGGAGACATAACAAATTCGGCCATTGTGGGCCTCGAGCGGGGTCTTTGTAACGTTTCTCGGCATTGTCTTGTTGTTTTTGCGGATTTTTTCGTGGTGGTCGGTATTAATTTAGCGAGTCCAGGCGTTTACGTAGTCCCCTTGTCTGTCCGTGCTTGCTTAGCACTGTCTTGGTATGCTCACCTGCGCAATCGCAGCATTCGTCAAAGGTGACAAAAGCTTTCCATTGAACGACGGGGTAGTTTAGTAGTGATATTTAGTCGTGACATCCTGTTCATATAGGAGAAAAAATATCGCTTTTAAAACTCAACGTTTGTTTCTGCTTATACCACTCTTTCTTGAAGTCAACGTATGACCGATTTTTTATGTCCCGTGTAGATGAGCTCTTTCTTGACGTCATTACTTTGCTCATCTGTTCTCGTGCAAATAAATCACTTAACAGGGCCATACCCTGTAGCACCTGATGCTATATTATGTTCCCAAGTCGTTTTCCCTTGCTAAACGCAATAATCCTCAATTTTCTTCGCGGTTTTTATTTCAAATGAAAACTACATGCTGGTTCGAATAGCTCTACGAAGTATTCACCATCAATACGGCAGAGTTTGTGAAGTGCTTGCCCTGGGGGACGCAATCATGTCATAGCATTACGCATTACCAAGAGTAAAAGCCTTCGGTCGTTTGGTAGGCCCGTGTGCTCAGATTTGGGTGCACGTTAAAGAACCCCAGGTGGTCGAAATTTCCGGAGCCCTCCACTACGGCGTCTCTCATAATTATATGGTGGTTTTGGGACGTTAAACCCCATATATAAATCAATCATCAAATCATTCGGTCGTTTGGTGTAATTAAGAGCCCATAATAGACCAATGTCTATTTAAATCAGTTGTGGTACCTGTTTGAAATGACTGAATAATTTGAGCCGCTGCAATGCCTGTATGATTCAATATTTTACAAACAATCACACGCCAGGATCTGTCAGCTGGTCACACAGTTACCGGCATTAACTTCGTTGTTGCACATGCACTCGACGTCACTATTCACACCCGGCATGGCACCAGGCATTGGCTTGATGCGTTTCGATGCATTAAGCGGTTGAAATATACCGATGCCACACCCATCAAGGGCGCAAACGATCACTCTATTGCATAGAATTGTTTCTACTCCTTTCTCTGATACTGCCGTATGCAATAAAGTAAAAAAAAACGCCAATATTTATTCACTAATATGTGAGGTTAATGCCCCAAAACCACCATTAGATCATGAGAGTCGCCGTAGTGGAGGGCTCCGGAAATTTAGATCACCTAGGGTTCTTTAACAAGCACCCAAATCTGAGCAGACGGGCCTGTAAGATTTCCGCCTACATCGGAAATGCAGCTGCCGCAGCCGGGATTCGATCCCGTGACCTGCGGGTCAGCAGCCGAGTACTTTCCACTAGAACACCGCGGTGGAGCAACGCCAATATTTGTGATGGCATGTTTTGTAACTTATGATCCCACTAAAAACTCAGGTAGAAGCGAGATCTCTGGGGCGTATTACTTGCATACTTGTACATTTAAACTCATAATCAAAAATACATACTGAACCTTCATTGAATATTAAAAAAAACGGCCGATGTTGTACTCTAAAAGAACAATCTCAAACTTTTTTATGAAGATCAATTTTAACCCTCTAATGCTCAGCTTATTTTATATGTGCTGTACTTAATTCTCAACTTGGAAGTATCCCTACACTCAGGCAGTGGTGAAAAGTAATAGATAAGGTGTATAATCGCTAAGGCTCCCTGCATAATGTTCTTAACTATGTGCAAAGATGGTTTTCTGAATGACAATTAGAGAATTTAGCTTTGTCACATTCATTGCATGACCATTGCAGGGCACTGTCGATGCGTTCGAAGTGAATTTTCCGTGCTTCGCAAGACCAAGGCCTATGACGCTATTATTAGTCTCTTCCGCCCTCATAAGTTGCGCCACGTGGCAATTAGAAAAAAGTGGCGCGATTTCCAAAGTTAGATGGGTGTACCACAGCTTGGTTCTCACGTGAGGTGCCGGCGTGCTCGCTAATTGTGTGAGGAAGCAGGGTTGATGTCGTTTAGCGATATTTAGCTCTCACTCCTGTACCTACGCAAAATTCACTTTAAGGCCGGATGATGCGTGCACCATAAAGGGCACTCCGCAAGCCAGCTTCTATTCTATTACATCACACATTTCTGGGAAATCTTTGCAACGTACTTGACATGTGAAATCTCACCGACTGAAATAATGGTGGCCTTAATTGGCTGGGACCCCGCCTGGCATCATACTGACCATGGCTTCATCTTACTTCAAATTTATAGTGCAATGTAGTAGGCTGGGTAATAACGACTGAATACTCGGCTCAGAACGGTGAGTAAGTGGATTCTCTAGAGTTTCGTGGAGTCGAGGCAATAGGTTATACGTATATTTATCAGTGCCTAGCTTTATTTAAACCTTCGTCAGTAACACGTACAAGATATAAAAACAAAAGTGCACATGACATGCAGTGTTTTATTTTTTTAGTTTGCTTGTGTTCTACTTTTGCGCTAGAAAAATATGGTGAATTTCATGCACCCCAAGCTCACCCAGGAATGAAGACGTTTTACATTGCAAGTACTTTAGAGTTCCCTTGTTTAAAATGTCTTGTAGGAATCCGTGGTTATATTTATAAATCTGCATAGCGACAATATTGCAACATGCTTTCAATAAAGAAGAATTGTTAAAATTTTCACTCCTATTATCATTTTCGGAATTATATGATAGGTTTAATATTGATATATTATAGCTGTTTCTCAAGAGTTTTGCTTTAAAAAAAAATGCGTTCTTCTCTCTTGAAACAGCAAAATAAAACAAACATATAAATGGATGGGATAGGTGATAGGAAAAAGAAAATTTCTCCTCAAGCAAAAAGAAAGTTTCAAGTAAGCTTTTATAACCTTCGTGGCAACCAGCCAATTCTAAATTATACGAGGTGCTCATGAAAGGCACACCGTGCCATTCTGAAAATTATAGCACACAAGTATGCTGC